TGTAAATACATATATATATATATTTATACATATATATATATAACTATATATATATATATATATATAAACGGGCATGGATTCGCCTTATGGGTTTTCATTTACGCAAAACAAAAGCACATGATGGTAAATTATATATGCCTAGCTGCTGCGAATGTTCCATGTTAAAACTGAATAGCTAGGAAGCTGGTGTGAACATAGTTTGGGCGATCTCCAAGTTCTGAAGCTCAAAATTACTTTCTTGATTCATTCCAAAAGCGCATGATCACAGATTTTCCAAACCAGCTTATTTTTTCAGAAAAGATTTAAAGAGTCCCAGTTCTTCCTCAGTGACATTTTTATTGTACCCAGTGCAACACTCCAGAGGATTATCCGCGTTGCCCGAGCAATTATTCGTATCAATCAGATATTAGATACTGCTGCTTTACCGGGAAGTGCTGATGCGCTGGGGGCAGTTCCGGATTTCTTGGTCTTTTGCCTTCCCCCTCCAAAAAAACTGAAAATTTCCAAAAGTTCAAAGAGTTCGGAGAAATTTAAAACATAAAAGAAACTCGTTGAGACAAAATAGAAAGAAAGAAATGTCTCTTCCAAGTGGCTCTTTGCAAGAATTCTTTTCTCTCTTTTCTCAGCTGCATTTATCCATCCAAGAAAGGAACTGGCTGCAAGCTGAAAGCGTCTGCGAAGTTCAGCACTGCCAGCTTGGAAGTGTGGAAGCTCTTTTCGTTATAATTCAACTCGAGAAATAATGGCTGCCTAATTCTCGATTCAGTGCTTACGTGCGATCTGTGAACTGCTCAAATATTCAACTGCAATTTAATCTGCAAGAAATTTCATTGGAACTTTCACGAACTGATGCTGACAGAGAAGTGACATTTTTGATTGTGTTGTTACGTGACTCAGTGTTGTCTCACGTGCTGCGTTTGGACGATGAGTCGTCGGATTTGCTTCAGCGATGAGGAAGAAGCGCAAAAAGCTATTCTTGATGCCACCGGAAAAAGCGACAGTCGTCGTCCTCACCACCTTCATCACCGGCCTGTTCCCATTCCAGAAACCTCGAAACTTGCTTCCTTGCTATATATCATAACATCCCTAGCTAAACGACTGGGCTTAATGCGACAGAATGCGCAAAATACAACGGTCGGGCTTCTGGCCAAATGTATCATGGAGCATTTCCATCCTCTCATTTGTTCCACCGCTGCGGTCAACTGCAGTTTTGTTTCTCAG